ACACCCTGATCGCGTGCGGGCTCCTCGGCCCCGCCCCTTCCCCACTCCCCCCCCTGCCGCTGCCACCCCCAGCTGGCCTGTAGCAGGCGGCTGCGCGGGGCTTCCCCTGCCTCCCTGCAAAACGGTGGAGGGTTCGCCCCTCGCCACACCGTTCCTCGCTGACCCTGCTCCCTGGCTGGCCTCAGTGTGTGTCCCAGCAGACACGTCACACCCCTCTTCCTTTTCCCGGCCTGTGAGCACGCTTGGGGCTTATAGGAGCTCCAGTTGTCTGGCTGGCTGGAGCACTTCTGGGTTCCAGTTGGTGCCGGACTATCGCAGGCCCTGGTTCTCGTGGGAGACTTTAATCACCCTGACATCTGTTGGGAAACCAATACGTCAGTACACAGGCAATCCAGGAAGTTTTTGGAGAATGTTGGGGATAACTTCTTGACACAAGTGCTGAAGGATCCGACCAGGGCCGTGCGCAGCTTGACCTTCTGCTCACAAACAGGAAGGAACTAATAGGGGAAGTGGAGGTGGGTGACAACCTGGGAAGCAGTGATCATGAGATGGTAGATTTCAGGATCCTGACCAAAGGAAGAAAAGAGAGTAGTAAAATACACACCTTGGACTACAAAAAAGCAGATTTTGACTCCCTCAGGGTATGTCTACACTACCCCCCTAGTTTGAACTAGGGGGGGTAATGTAGTCATACGGAGTTGCAAATGAAGCCCGGGATTTGAATTTCCCGGGCTTCATTTGCATAAAGCCGGCCTCCTCTTCAGCAGCAACATCTAAAATGACATTAAATAAAAGTTCAATCTGACCTAGCTTTTACACAGACACATTTATCATTATTAGATCTCTGCATTTCAGGAAGTCAAGAGCCACTTCTATTGTAAATTAATCTACGCTTCCCATCTTACTCCTTTCTGCAAAACTTCACCTCACTTTTAAAGTGTGTGTTTGGGTGGGGAGGGTGGAGAGAGAGAAGAATGTTGTCCACATCTTAGAAAGATGGCTAGAAGGCCGGGCCCAGCGGGTAGTGATCAATGGCTCGATGTCAGGATGGCGGTCGGTTTCTAGCGGAGTGCCCCAAGGTTCGGTTCTAGGACCGGTTTTGTTCAATATCTTTATTAATGATCTGTCTGAGGGGATGGATTGCACCCTCAGCAAGTTTGCGGATGACACTAAGCTGGGGGGAGAGGTAGACACACTTAAGGGCAGAGATAGGGTACAGAATGACTTAGACAAATTGGAGGATTGGGCCACAAGAAATATGATGAGTTTCAACAAGGACAAGTGTAGAGTCCTGCACTTGGGACGGAAGAATCCTGAGCATAGTTACAAACTGGGGTCCAACCAGCTAAGTAGTAGTTCTGCAGAAAAGGACCTGGGGGTTACAGTGGATGAGAAGCTGGATATGAGTCAACAGTGTGCCCTTGTAATCAAGAAGCCTTTATTCGGCTTTGGTGAGGCCACATCTGGAGTATTGTGTCTAGTTCTGGGCCCCCCACTACAAAAAGGATGTGGACGCATTGGAGAGGGTCCAGCGGAGGGGGGGCTGGAGCATTAGGGGGCTGGAGCATATGACTTATGAGGAGAGGCTGAGGGACTTGGGTCTGTTTAGTCTGCAGAAGCGAAGAGGGAGGGGGGATTTGATAGCAGCCTTCAACTTCCGGAAGGGGGGTTCCAAAGAGGATGGAGAGAGGCTGTTCTCAGTAGTGACAGATGGCAGAACAAGGAGCAATGGGCTCAAGTTGTGGTGGGAGAGGTCCAGGTTGGATATTAGGAAAAACTATTTCACTAAGAGAGTGGTGAAGCACTGGAATGGGTTCCCTAGGGAAGTAGTGGAGTCTCCATCCCTAGAGGTGTTTAAGTCTCGGCTTGACAAAGCCCTGGCTGGGTTGATTTAGTTGGGATTGGTCCTGCCTAGAGCAAGGGGCTGGACTTGATGACCTTCTGAGGTCTCATCCAGCTCTATGGTTCTATGATTCTATCAGGCGTGCCAAACCACTGGATGCTGGACAATTGGAGTTTTACTGTATTTGGTTACAAGGGATCTTCCCTTGAAAGAGTAAATTGCAGCTGGGGGAAAGGGAAGAATGTAGGTAATCTTAACTATGTTTTTTTTTATTTATAGAATATCAGGAACTTTTAAAATAGAATTCTTATACAATGTTTTACAGCTGCAGCTCAGTAATGCACGAAAAAAAACGTAGTTGAGTACACTCCCTGTGTTACAGGAATTGAAAATATACATGTCTTTGAGGAAGGAAGTGGTTACAAAGAACTCAGAGGATATTGTGGGCTATTGAACTGAAGTTCATATTCTAGCTGACCTGTGTATTTGGCTAAAAGGCTTGTTTTTAACTATATTGACAAAGTACACAATGAATTTAGAGAGCTGAGAGGTCAAACTGAATAGCATCATAACTGTAATACCTACATTTTGGAACAACTGGTGATATTTTAGATGGGGTCGCTTTGTTTCTGGACTTCGATTTCAGGGTAGTCTCCTTGCTTGAGTCACTGGATATCAGTTTGAATGGAACCTTTCCCTGAAAACTGATAATGAAATTTGAGCACTTTCCCAACTGTTCCTTTTCTTTTGGATCAGAAACATATTTTCCTGTTAATTTTCCTGGAGAAGTGGTGATAATAGTCATAAAGATTTCATACATGTCTTGCTGCTTCATTCTTGCTCATTGCTCTGTTGTGAATATGTAGAGCTCATTGATAAATTCAGGGTAAACATTTGGACATCCAGATAAAGATGCAGGAAATAATTTCAGATTGATGAATGACCCTTAAAGAAAATGAAAAATAAATGAAACCAGTGACCTCGTATAGTCAGTAGGTGGCCTACGCCCACCTTCCACTTCAGTCACCCTGAAGACTGCTGTAGTTGATTGTGACCTGCTGCCTCACTCCATTCACTGCAGCACTGTGGACTTCTCCTAGTTTCTAGGAGCCCCCTTCATCAGTTTACTTTGTAGGAAGTGCAAAAGTACCAGAAATACTAGTAAAGAAAGACAGGAGGGGGATGGGAGAAAGCTGGCTGTTGGGAGGGTGGAGTAGCAGAGGGAGCAACAGAAATGTTTAACAAATTCTACGAAATTCACTTTATCTGAAAATTGAATTGGATAACTGTACGCACAGCTCTGCATTTGGTAGCAGCATAAACTACTCAAATGTGCTTTTTCTTTACCAAGGCACCATAATATGTTCCCAGGCTTTTTATTCAAATGGGCTCCCTTGTATTGGCCTGCATGTAGTAGCAGCAGATATATTTTTTTTTAATCTGGGGAGGATAATATATGTCACTCCGCAGTCTCTCTTCTTGCCAAAGACTTTGTATAGGCTGTTGCTTACTTTCCTCTTTACTGGAAATAATGTTCCGTTTTGTAGATTCAAGCATTCCCTGTAATTACACCAGACTCTACTATGCTTTAACACATCCTGTTCGATGGAATATTGTTGCATTCCTTTGAAGCCCTGGTGTGATACTGAAATGTTGCTGTGTCTGAGTGACTTATGTGAAATGCATTTTGTCACTTCTACTTGGATCATTTGGCAGAATTCAAGCAGTTAAATGTGTCTCACCCCATTGGTGATTCTTGGAAATATGATAAGCTGTAATAGTGAATTTCCCAATAACTGTTTATCAGGTTGTTGTGTTGTTTTTTTTTTTTTACCAAGAATTGCATGCTTTGGCAGCTGAATAAACTCTGCCTTCTTTCAGATTTGGAATTTGTCAGGAAAGGATGATCTTGTTTCCTATTTTGTATTTTTTTTTTAAGAAAAACTAGCTTCATGCAACATATCAGACAGCTCATTCATCACAGTATC